AGCTTTGGATTCATCTAATAAGTGAAGTTTTACGAATCGTTTTCTAAGAATTTTGGATTATAGGCATTTATTAGCACACCACAATATATTGTAGTTTTCAACTTTACACAGCTGGCGCATATCAATTCGATATTATTTTGCGGGCTGTTTTGTCGTAATCCATAGAATTTCATAGTTTCGTGCTAAAGGTACGTTAAGTGGTGATTTGGCAGGTGCTGAAATCAATTTGGAACCTTAAAATTCTATGGACTATGACATTGAACCCAGAAAACAATATCGATCCAATATTTTAGATTATCCATTTCCAAGGAGTTTAGAATTTATTGGGTTCTCTTTAGTTAAAGAATTAGAAGGCATTTATGGAATGCCTCTTTGTCTCCTTTTTAAGCGTCTAATACTATCATCCTTTTATATAATGCTTGATCGGTGATACTAACAAAACTTTTAACGGCAAAAATATATTTTGCATTTTACAAATAGAAAATACGTTTGGAAAAGTATTTAAGACGTTCTCTGATTAAAGGCGAGATCATTTTTTACTTTCTGCTTTGATTCTAATAAAAATTTGTGATTGTTATATCGTGCTTGTAGTCTTAATTCGATTGATTATTTGTGAAAAGTGTGCTTGCTGCAGCTAGTCAGTTGGACGATTTTGACTAAACATTGATAAGAGTGAAATAGTGACGTAAAGGTCACTCTCACGGATTTCGCACCGCAGTGGGAGGGGGTCAGTTATCGCAAGGACTCACGGCCTCAAGGGCCAAAATCAAAATAAATGAATATTAAAGTTCATACCTAGAATTACATTGTAATTTATAAAAATATCTGACTTTCTACAATCCGACTCAAGCGTCTTCTGATGTTTAGCTAATGATATGTCAAGTGATTTTCACCTTTTACAACAGTTTATAAAAACTTTTGGGTGTTTCAATCCCATTCCGTACAAATGCTGGTGCTCGGGATGTCCCTTTTCAGCTTTCTTTTAGAAATCGTGGGGTTGGGCGGGCGATTGTTGGGGTGAGAAATGAAAGATGAGACAGAGATATGAAGACAGAAGAAAGTGAAGGATTATCTCTGTGCAATATCACTGCTACAGCATTTGCCTGTGTGATCCAAGGAAACCACAGAAAATCTTGGACCAGGATAGAACGGACATGGAATCAAATCTTAAACCTCTATATTTTGTTACGGTAAGGGAAAGGACATGATGAGGATACCGTGGATAGAGAAAGTTAGAAATGAGGAGGTATTAGAAAGAATAGGTGAACAGAGAATTCTATGGACTTTGCCTTACGCCACTGGATTGGAAAACATCATTTACTTGTGCATTTCCAAGATGTATCAATTTTGCAACATCATTGGAAGAATTGCAACCCAAAATCCAGAAATAAGGACACATTACTATTACGCGAAAATTCCTTGGTCGGCAGATAGATTATTTATTCAAATAATGAAGAAAATTTGGATCGATATGATCATCATTTCAAAAAGCATCATAGGAGTCATTAGAATTTATTCAGGGTATCAGAGTCGAATGGTAACATTGGCAGTGTTGAGATTTTCTAACCAAGGACTCGTATCCAGGTCAGAAATTTATTTAAAAAAATTTTAGGGAATTCAGAATCGCTTAGTTCTATTTATCAGGCTTATCTCAAAATCGCGATTAGATTAGATTAAAGATTAGCAAGAGTGCAAATAAGTTGTTGGGTGGCTGAATTTATTAGGAATTTGCATTAGTTACTATTCATTTGTATATGTAAGAGTAAGGAATAGTGTGTATGAAAATGGGACATTCCACAAAATGAGGCAATTTTAAAAAAGGAAATGATAATATGGAATTGATATCCATAAACTTTATAAAAACTTCCTAATAAGTAAGTAATAAACGAAATATGTCTTTATAAATAAAACCTTTTTAATCATGCGTGCTCTGTGACTGGCTGAATGATGCTTTTCGGATCATAAGGCAATTATCAGATTATAACCAATAAAAAGCAAATATTTCAAATTACCACAATAAACAAGCCAATAACATTTTAATAATAAAAGTAGCTAACGACACGGATTACACTTTGTCTATTTTGTTTTTTTCGAAGAACATTGAAAAATCGATAGAGCATGCTTTAACATAGATCCTGTTATAATATGAGTCCTTAACATTAATACTTAGAGGCGGCATTTTGCAATTTCCTATTTCCCATTTAAGTAACTTAGGAATTTTTCTTTTTTAATTTTGAAATTTTGTAAGTCGACAATGAATTACTGTATTTCGAAATATTGGTATTTTTGCCCAGAACTAGCTCAGTATCGGTAATAAAATGCTCACATCGCATGCGGGCATTGCAACGGACGGCTTTTTGTTTAATATTTACCATATAAGAGTTTTACTATTTGATTGCCTAGAATCATAGTTACAGTAAAGAAAATTTTGCTATTGTGAAAACAATAAATCATTAACTGATGTAACGCATTTATAATAATAAACCAATTGAAAGCATTTAAATTTGAATGCGCGCCGCGCGACACCGTTCAATGTTTTGCGCAAGCGGAAGTACCACCAATGAGGTATCCATGTCGCTAGCGTTTAACCGCCTGCCTCAATAGTTCAAGAGTTGTAGTAGTTGTAACATGCGTGCAAAAGGTTGTTATTTCGCGAGTAACATGTTTAATGTAAATTTGTAGTGTTGTTGATTCTTAATTTGAATTTATAGTGGCGTTTCGAACTATTATGAACTGTTACAACTCTAGTATAGGCAAGGATATAGTAAGGTAAGAAAAACATCACATGGGTTTATAAAATACTTGTCATATTAAATTGCAGGTACAAGCTATGATATATAAAAATTGTAATTAGGTATATGTTGGTTGCAAAAATTGTGAGCAAATGTAATTTACAGCTCTTCTAATAGGTACCTACATGACACAAGACAGTTTTCATTCTTAACTAATTTCGAAAGTGTTAGTACAATAGATACATATAATATAAAAACAAAATATTGCTTTCCTATTGTAGGTACAATAGTTGGTATACGTTTATTACTTAAATCTTAAATGATCTAGGATTATATGCATTTATATGTGATGTCCGGGGTTTAAAATAAAAATACCTACTCTTCAAACATAATCTATTCGTCTGCAGCAATTTTCGTAAACAATAATAATAATCGATTAACTTAACATTAAATAACTAACGAAATAAAAAGAAACAAGAAAAACAAAAATGCAATGTTATTGTAAAGCTCCCCGCACTAATCACGATGCCAATTAGGTTTTGCATTAAAAGTATTCGTATAAAACTAAATACCACTACGGTTTAGGAAAACAGATCTATTGGAATTAAATTAATAAAAATAAATAGATAGGTAACAGTTAAAAAAATAATTTTATGAATCGCAGAGACAATTTGGTAACACTATATAATATTACCTGTCAAAATCAAATTCTACTAACGAAATCACAGTTGAAGATTACAGAACGTTTAATGTTTGATTTTTGCAAATCTCTTAAAGTTTTCCAGTTTATTACAATTTTGACTAGTGAAAGATTTAATACATACCTATTTATTGTAACAGAAAGAAGAAAAATCTTGGGCGGCCTATATAAGTATTTAATAAAAATAATTGAAGAACTAAGTATCTATATTATAGTAGGTAATGGTAGATTATATACCTATTAATATTCTGAAAATTTCTGTATAAACTATGGTAATAGACGAGCACAATTGTTGAAAGAAAAACCTTTCCTTGATTATTATTAGCTGCAGTTTATTTTTTATGTTGTCATGTATCCAATTTTCCCTTTTCTGTCACACTTTGTTCAATGTATGTATGTAATAGTGAATTTTGGCATGAATTGTGCCGTATTAAAAAAAACTTAAAACTATTTTTATTTAAACCACACTGGAAGCTACAAAAAAGGTAAAAAAATTAAATAATATTATATCTACTTTACGTCTATAACTTGTAGTTATTGCCTTAAAAGAAATATTTGTAAAGAAATAAAAATACGTCCTATCACAGATAGATAAACTAGTTCTTAAAGCAATCACAAATTTCCAAATTATTACTACCTTTTACCATGTTATACATTAAATACATATGTATTTTTATCTACAAAAGAACAAACTAACTTTATACGGTCGATCTACTATTTTACATGTAATTGTAGTAAATATTTCTGTAAAAGAGTGATGTCTATCTATAAAAAATTTATTTATATACCTTTGGCAGCAATACTAAAAAGAACATTTTAATTGCTTTCAATGCAACGCTATAAATTCACCTGTTTGTGTGCAATACAAATTTTATAAATGACCCTTTTCCAAATAATTATTCCGATTGTATTATGCTATGATCTAAACCCTAATATACATAACTATTTAAAAGTTGCGATATTGTTATGAACTCATAAAATAAAATCAGTGTTATGCTCTTAAAAAAAAAAAAACAAACTGATTGAAAAATATTAACTTATAAACAAACACCAAATTTAGGCGTAAATTAGTCAAACAATTTGGAGACGAGGAAAGCTATTTTTGATCTAGTTAAAACATAACTTTACCTACCCATTTCCGTTAGTAATTAATAACAGTTTTAATACTGAAATATTATTAAGTAAGTTATATAATTTCTGTAGCTTCCATTGCGACTCAAATATATATAATGAGTAATTAAAAAATATCACTGACATGCGCCTAATTCAGGGCCGGCCAACCCGCGGCCCGCCTTGAACATTCTTCCGGTCCGCGAGATTCATCATAATTTTACAAAATATATTTATTTTAAAAATTGCTCAAAGTAGTGAAAACTAATGTATTAAGAAAAAAGCCGATGTGTCTATTCACCGGTACGGTACCGGTGACTAATAAGCTATTGACCGGTCCTGGACCGGTGACAAAAGCTATTCGCCGGTAACCAGCTAGAAAGCATGGTATTTTTTAGAAATAGAATATTTAATTCATGCTTCATTTATTTTAAATAAGTACAATTGTTGTTCTTGTCTCAATTTTCAGTAGAAGTAGAATTTTTGAATTTTGCATAAACATTCTTGTTCATTAAGGTTCAATAATACTGTAAAAATTTTAAGTTTGAAAACCGTTTAGGTGCACCCCTTCTTTAAACGATTTTGAAAGTCTAAGTGCAGCATGCTCATTAGCATTATAGTCTCATAAACCATTTAAGAAGGTGATCTTTTGATGATTTAAACGTTTGGGTACCGGTGAATAGTGTCTTAGTCACTGGTACAGTACCGATGAATAGCTTCTTAGTCGCCGTACGGTATAGATGAATGACTTCTTAGTCACCGGTACGGTACTGGTGAATTGATTTTTAGTCACTGGTACGGTACCGGTAAATCGTTTCTTAATCACCGGTACGGTACTGGTGAATTGATTTTTAGTCACTGGTACGGTACCGGTAAATCGTTTCTTAATCACCGGTACAGTACCGGTGAATGACTTCTTAATCACCGGTACAGTACCGGTGAATGACTTCTTAGTCACCGGTACGGTACTGATGAATTGATTTTTAGTCACTGGTACGGTACCGGTAAATCGTTTCTTAATCACCGGCACAGTACCGGTGAATAGCTCCTTAGTAACCGGTATTAATGGGGAAATATATATATATTTTATATGCGGCCCGCGGAGTTGTGATTTATTTCAAAAGTGGTCTGCAAGATGATTTGGGTTGGCTAGCCCTGGTCTAGATAAAAACACCTAGTTATTATGCTACTTGATCCTGACTGCAACAGTCAAAAGGGTACTACTATTCTGTACCTATGCATTATCCTAAAAATTGTATAAAAAATATTCGACTAACGGTTTGCAAACACTTTTATTCTTAATACGAAATATGCACACACCCTGAGGAGCACAAAGAGACCGCCCAAAATGGACACGTCTATTAGGTAACTATCCAGATCGTCGTTCATAGACATTTGACTCAAAAATTTGGTTGGGTATTTAAAGTGACAGTACAGATCGTTGCACTCTAGTTTCGCCCTATTGAGGCCGTAAATTGAGATCAAAATGCCCTCGAAACTGTAACGAACATAACTTGCGTACGGTAACCATTTTAAATAAAACGGTATGTCGTTGAGGTTGACGAAAAATCCGGACAATAAAACCATAGGAATTGTTGAGATTGGCCCTAAGAATACGCCACTCTGAAATGAAATATTTAAAAATGTTATTAATACCGCATCATTCTTCGGTGTATTCAAAACTGCTTTTGAAATTGATAAGTTTCTATTGATGACGATATAATGCTAGGGAAATTATGAAAAGAAAAATCATTATGCAGAACTTTCTGTATGTGAGCCAAACGCTCACTACTTCATCAGAATCGAAATTGTGTCTTTTAGATTCTAAACGAAACTCGGGTACCTAAAATTCCACAATTAAGTTCAGAAACTTAAAGGTTTTTACACAAATACATACTTATATAATTTTAGGTAACTTCTGAATAAACACAACGCGGTGAGATATATTTAATGTGAACAGTATATAATCATCATAAGGTCGTCAGTCCTAAGACTGGTTGGACACGTACCTCCACTCATTCCTATCCTGAGCTAATCTTCGCATTTCCCTAAAACTAGAACAACCCATATCTTTAACTATTTGCGAACAGTAATCTAATCTAGATCTACCTCTACCTCTCCTAACTTCCGTTTCTACTTCTATGATGTCTCTGACTAGACCTTCATGACTGAGAAGGTGTCCTATTAACCTATCTCTTCTATTTATTATTGACTTCCATAGAGTTTTATGTTCTTTTACTCTTTCTAATACCCCTTCACTTCTAACCTTCTCTATCCATGGTATCCTTATCATTCGCCTGTAACACCACATTTCGAACGCTTCTAACCTTTTCTTTTCCGACTCGATTCTGCGCTATCCTCTGCTTCATAACCCTACTACTCTTTTCGTCCTGACTTATCTGACTTTCTAAATACCTAAAATCGATCACATCTTCTAATTTTTCGTCTCCTATCTTTATATTCTATTTTTCCCTACTTTTTCTTCCGATGCATACAAGTATTTTTGTTTTAATTTTATTCATTTTCATACAATACTGTTTTGTCAATACCGCTTCCATTTTATTTGAAGCTATCTCTATCTCTTCCTTGCTAGATGCTAATACTGCTACATCATCTGCAAATCTAAGCATACTAATCTTTTACCCCTGTATATCTATCCCTACAGTTGTACTGTCTTAAATGATGTTGATGGCGTCTTCGATGTATAGATTAAAAAGTAGCTGTGACAGTGTGCATCCCTGTCTGACTCCGTTCCTAATATTTACTTCTCTACATTGTAGCCCCAACTCTATAACTGCCTGTTGCTCTTTACAGAAACTAAGTATCACTCTTCTATCTTTGTAACTCATCCCTACATTTTTAAGTATATTTCACATCTGGACAGTATATAAGAGTGCAAAATTACTAGCGCTTTTATCTTCTTCTGTTCGAAATTATTTTTTGGACAGTCAGAATTTCAAGATCCATTTTTCATAAGATTTTACTTTGAAGAAAATTAATGAAATTATGTTTTACCTCTATGTCAAAGGCAGCTCCAACTAGAAGACCTAAACTTTGAGCAACTAAAGCTGTGAGTACCGATACTAAAATGAACATTCCAAATCTCAACGGTTCCATGGGCTGTGATGTGATGTAATAGACTCCCATCACGTAGCAGATTGTCAACACGATCTGTATTTAAAATAAAAGTTGCTTTACAATAATTCACGACAAAATTATTTCGAGTGAAATAAATACCTGGAACGGAATATCAGCCACCGTTTTTGCGAAATAGTAGGCCTTAATGGAATACCAATAATTCAAGTGTTCTCTCACAAAAACAGACATCTCCAAAGGAACTAAAAGTTTGACATTGTTTAGTACAACAAGCAGTAGAACATAAAATGAATACAAATATGGAGAAATGGTGATAAAAATTGAAGTACCTTTTGGCATTGAAAATAGAAACACTTACATGTTAAAATAGTTGGCATCATGGCCGTGAACATGGTAAACATGACGGTGAAGAACATGCATCCAGCGTTACTCATTACTTTAGCGGCATCATTACCGATATCATAATAAATTAATCCTATCAGAATTCCGATAACGAAGTGCGCTAACAGTCTCATTCTCGTTAGCTGGGTGTCGCGCAGGGTGGCACGGAAAGTTCTTTTAAGCAGAATCCAGAACTGTTGCCAACTGGATATAGGGAATGTGGCAGCTTTATCAGAATGCTTGAGATTTTCAGACGAGTCTAAGAGGGCTGTGGTACATGTTGTTGTTCCGGTGGGGACGTTTTCTTTTGCTAATGCGGCCTTTGGGTCGGAGGGAGTGGACGTGTTCTTCAGCGAAACGTTTGTTGCGTTTGGAAGGGCGTTACATGTTGACGTATTTAAACCTTTACATTTTCCGGTGTTCACCGCAACTACCAATTTCTCGAGATAGTCGCCGTGGTCTCCACAAGCCACTTCTATCACTAAAGAGAGAAATAATACACCATCTTTAAAAAGTAAGAGCTGTTTGATTTAAAAATGAGCCTTGAAAATGGATACTCGTAAGACGAAGATTCTCAATATTTAGATAAGCGAATGGAACAATTAAAAGTTACTATTGGGATCCGTCAAATGGGAGGAGCCTAAAAACATGACGCCGATTAGGGAAAATTTATCGTAGTTCCTATAGTGTACCGTGCAATTTCCAAGTTTTTAAATTACGATAAAATGTTAAGTATTGACACAATATGTGATTGGGCTGACACAAAGCCTCGGAAAGGAAATTTCGTTGAAGGTGAGCGTGTTTTTAATGCCAATCACATTATAAAATTCGGAAATAACAAATCCGGAAGCTAGCCTTCAAATTCCGTCAAGTTTACTGCCTACTTTTTACAAACATCGGATTTAAAAAGTGATTCACGTTATATAATTGGTGAGGTGATTCTGGGTGATTTAAGCAATATCGTATCAATGACTTGCACGTGCAAAGCCGACTTAAGAGAACGTTGCAAACAAATTCGATCCACGCGTTTTTAAGGATTGACGAAGACTTTTTTAAATTTTTTAATATGTGGTAAAAAACAACAGTCTACGTTAATTAAGAATAAGGAGAAGCATACCATAATCAGCAGGGTTATGGTAACTGGGGCAATGAAATCCTTCAGACGACAAGAAAGGAACAAGTTCCGTAGATTTTCCTTTATAGATGCATTGCCCTTCGGATAAGATGTAAAGATGATCGAACATTTCAAACAGTCTGGCTGAGGGTTGATGTATTGTACATATAACAGTTCTGCCACCCCGTGCCAGTGATTTTAATAGCGATATGCACTGAAAACAAGACGAACTGTCCAAACCGCTCGTCGGTTCATCGAAAAACATCACGGGGGGATTGTTGACCAGCTCTAGTGCAATGGACAGTCTTTTCTTTTGTCCGCCTGATAAGGTTGCAGTGATTGTGTTTCGGCATTCGGTTAAGCCCAATACTTCCATTACTTCCTCAATAACAACTTTCTTTTCGGGTTGCGTCAGATCTTTGCCTAGTTTTAAATTAGCAGATACCATCATGGCTTCTTTTACCGTTAGATTAGGAGACAAACAGTCATCCTGCATGATGTAGCAAGACATCTTGCGAAAACGCCTCAAACTCCGTTCTTTGCCGTTTATCAAAACTGAACCATCGAGATTCGACGTTCTAAAAAGGTGTAAAAGTGATTTTTATTTCAACTTCATCTAGGTTCCAGAACATTTAAAAATAAGAAAATACCACAAATGGCACGGTAAACGCCATCTGGAGTATGATGCTACATTTTAGGATTACGTATGCTCCAACAAGGTCCATTTAAATATATAGATATCTACTTGTTGCATATATTTAAATGGACCTTGTTGGAGCATACGTAATCCTAAAATGTAGCATCATACTCCAGATGGCGTTTACCGCGCTATTTGTGGTATTTTCTAAAACGCGCTGTTCAGGTAAAGGTTGGTCTGTGTTCTGTCGGAGCTGCCTGCGACATGCTGATGAGATCCAAAAAGATCGAAATCGCCATCCGCGTCTGGCAGTTTTGACAAAATACAGACCACTTCGAATTATTTTATCTTATTTAAAAATAACATGAGAGAAAACGTAACCATAGACCAAAAATAGAAAGTGAATAACAAGATAACAGAACTTTAGGAATGCTTACTTGTATCCTGCTAGAATGTTCATGAGAGTACTTTTTCCGGCACCTGAGGGCCCCATAATGGCAGTGAGTTCTCCTGACAAGAATTTACCGTTTATGCATTTTAAGATCGTCTTGTAACCTCGTTGCCTCCCTTCCGAAACTGAGTAGGACATGTCGATGAATTGAATATCGACCGGAGGACGTTTCGGCAAATGTGTAAGTGATATTGTAGGCTTTTTGTGATTATTGGGACTGCCGTTAAGCACCTTCTTGAGACCCGAAGACATGTTGTGCAATGTTGTGGCCGATGTAGCCGTTGTAGCGCCATTGCAGAGATTCGACTGAGAATCACTGAAACAAACATAATTTTAACTAAGTAAAATCAACAATACAGGTTTTGATCTACGATTGTGTTCGTCTAATGTACACAATGATGATAAAATAGTTTGCTTAGCGTAAAAGATCAGAGTCAAAATAGAGTTGCAAATAATTTTAATGATGTTTACAACCCTATTTTGTTTCTGATCTTTTACACATTGTAACAAGACAAATAAATGGAATCCATAGTTTCTTTAGCTTTGGGTTCATTTAAAAAGTGAAGTTTTTTAAGAATTTTACGGATTTTGGATTATATGAATTTATTAGCACACTACAATATCTTGTAGTTTTGTTTTACACAGCTGGCGTATATCAATTCGATATTGTTTTTGGGGGCTGTTTTGTCGTAATTTATAGAATTTCGTAGTTCCTTCCTGATTTGGCAGATGCTGATATCAATTTGGAACTTCAAAATTCCGTGAACCATGACATTGAACGCGGAAAACAATATCGATCTAATATTCTAGATTATCCATTTCCAAGGAGTTTAGAATTTTTTGGGCTCTCTTTGGTTAAAAAATTACAAGGCATTCATGGAATGTCTTTTTATCGCTTTTTTAAGCATCTAATACCTTCAATAGATAGTGTGAGCAACTTTCATTTATCATTTTATATAATGTTTGATTGGTGATACTAGCCTAACATTTAAAGGCAAAAATGTATTTTGCATTTTACAAATAGAAAATACATTTGGAAAAGTACTTTAAATAAAATACAAAATGTTTTTCTCAAAAAAGTATTTAAATTCAAGATAAAAATAGGTATTTTTTATTTTGTATTTGCATTCTAAATGCAAGTATTTCAAAAAAATCACATCTCTGGGTGCTAACTATCAGAGGGGTGCTAAGCGGAAATCATTAAATTAACAATTAGATATTCTTAAGTATTCTTTTGTCTTCTGTTTCTTCTCTATCTTTTCATCTTCTTCTTCAAGTAAAAGAGCAATAATTTAATAAACTATAGTAAGCGAATAATTTTTAAACATAGCGACAAACTAACAGTCTAAAATTTGCCGAAAAACTGTCGACCAACTGTTGTATAATGTGAATACAAATACAACATAAAACTGACCTACATCTGACAGACAGATGGCGAATAGTGAAAATCAAGTTTTATATTTCTTATTTGGTGGAAACTATAGAAAAATGGACTTATTAAAACTTAACATACTCTAATTAGGAGACGTTCTTTTTTGTATTTTTTAAGAATTTGTAAAACAGTGAGATGCTGTATTAAAAAAATATTCAATTCTCAGAAATATTATTTGGTTGAACAATAGATATTTTACATACCAATTTAGACGCACTAATTGTGTATTTGATTCTGAGATTTGCTTTATATGAATCGGCAATGGGTTCCGATACTGGTCCGCCAAACCTTTTTCGATAGTAATTTCGATTTCGCCATTCTCCATAAGGTCGGTAAAAATGTTCGATGTGAGCTGCATTTTATTAATTGGATAGATCGACCTCGCAGATATCAGTTCAGGTTGAAATGAACAAAACACGAACTAGATACAGGACAAACGGGGAACGCTATTCAGTTTAGAACCGATGAAGTAGTACTGATCGCGGAGAAGCGTTTCAAAATGAATGGCATGATTTTTTTTTACAATATATCATCATCATTCGTGAGTGGGTATTAAGTATATATCAAAAACTTGGTGAAACATGCTGCTAAAAGTTTTCACCTTTTTGAAAACCATATGTGCATACACATCAATCTTTTTAACTAATCGCTTTTTTGATTACATACTTCACAATCAGTATAATTTATCGTCCACAACTGGAAAAATTACACTCTTGATATCGACTTTGTGTTGATTTTTGTTGCCTGTTTAGATTTTGATGGCGAATATTCAAAGTAAAATAGTAGGCATTCTATTTTGCGACTGATGCGAGTAATCGATTTGATTTGTAACTTTGTTTTTCACTCTTTTCATGGATGAATAAACAGTGAAGCGTCTGAAGTCAAGCTTTTGAAATTTTTGCATGGTCGTATTCTAGAATTTCTATCGGCCTCACTTGTTTGCGTTTATGCCTAGCGAGTGTATCATGTGACAACACACCCTAAGTAATTTTTTTTGATAAAAAAAATACGACATACACAGAATATTACACAATAATTTAAGTAGCACAGTCATGCAATGTCTTTAATTTGAAACAAATAAGCACTCGGAGCGGAAATATACAATATGCAGGCGTAGATATCCATGAAATCGTTAATAGGATATAATAATAGGGCAATTTTTTGAAGTAGTTATTCCAGCAGCAGTTCTTACTTAACTTAATTAGTTTGCTTTCTGTACACACGAAAAAAGCTGATAGGTTTCAACTGTTATAACGAATAGGCAACGAAAATAAAAGTAGTAATTAATTTTGGATTCAACATAAAGTTTATTTATTGTTTCACAATTGAAAGTAAACAGATAGAGAATATTCTGGATACTTTACGATGAAGACTTTTAGAACATATTTAATTTCGTTGACACACGCAGGAAGCGACAGGTCCAGCTTGTAGTTGTAATGATAACTACAACTAATGAATTGTATGTTAACCTTCAATATAATTAAACTATCTGTACAAATACATATTAGGAAAAACAAAGTCAGAATAATCAAAAACAGACATAAGCCAATCAAATGCTCTAATGAGAAATTAAATGCTTCGGGCATTTTACAAATTGTTTAAATAACGACAATAATTTTTTTGGCCACACATCAATTAAATGCTTTCGAATCAGACCAGCTATTTTTCCATGACTTCTGAAAAAAAAAAAGTTGGCAGATCATGTGACAAAAAATTGATAGCCTAGCAGCCTTAATAATCCTTCTAGGCAATGCCCTTTATTTTCAAAATGAGAAAAAAAAATCTCAAGTTAGTATAAATGTAACTCGTGGCAGTTAGGTGTCTTCTTCTTTTTAATGAGGAAATTATGGTAATTTTAGCAATAGCCTTTGAACTAATACTGCAAATAAGACTTAATAAGTTAAATGTCCTTGACGTTTGGCGTTTAGATTTATTTCATACATAGTATTTTTAATTTTTATATATAGTGTTGAAGTACCTGTTTTCACGTGTAATTAAAAATCGACATTTTCACAAAACAAAAAATTCATTATGATATTTGATAATATCTAGTCGGTATTAAGTCAAAAAGTATTGTAAACACGTGGCGACGCGACGGTTTTAGAAAATTCTTAAATTTTTCTAAACACTTGAATGATGATATTTGTAGTAGATTTCTTATGTAATATCACTACAATGCGTGTACATAGACAATTTCGACACGTGTACCATAATTACTTATCGTATGTTGGTACAGGAATAATGCAAATATTTACACAAGCAAATTGTATTTTACTTTGAAAAATCCATACTCGAAAATATATACATACATTTTCCAAATTTAGCACTGCTGTTTCCAAAGTGCCTAACTAGACATTAAGCCAGATTGTTAAAAGTCACATTTAGCATAATGGTTTCTGACGACGTTTAGACACAAGACTGAATGAGGAACAGCAGTTTAAAAATATCGACTTAGCATTTTTACCCCTATTTTGGTTAGGTTTGGTTAGATTTGGTGGTAAAGGTCTAGATTATCCCCCTTCGGGGGTGGGAGCAGGGGGATTGTAAGAGGCGGTCTCCTTTACCACTGTACCATAAAAACTTTGCGGCGGTCTCAACCCCATGAAAAGTTATGGGGACTCAAAGTTTATTATTTTGTTGATTTTCATATGTTTGTGGGTAAATGTAATTTGCATATTAATTTTCTATGAATATTCGAAAATGAAAACAATGAAAACTACATAGAAACAATCAATAATTTATATAAAAAATTATTTAAATATTATTATCAAAATTATAAATGTTGGATAATTAGTAATAATAAGTAATCTATTAAATTTTATTAGACTTTATAGTGTATGAACATTGGGAAATTACAGAACTTTGCAACTCCATATTTTTTTATGGGGGTATGACCGTCGCGAAATTTTTATGGTAGTTTACTCAGGAAGACCTCCTACTTCAATCCCCCCTGCCCCCACCCCCGAAAGGGGTTGGGAAGAATATCTAGACCTTTACCCAAAAGATATACATGGGAATGATACACTTTATTCTTGTTTTTGTTGTATTTTTTTTTTGTTTTCAGTTTTTTAAAGGCGTTTTCTTTTTTTTTTTAGATAAACATTCGAAGTAGAACGCGTCCGGAACTTTTTCTACTACACCTACAGATACGTAAGTACCTTTCATTTGATATGAAATTATTGTCTACAGGCGCAAAAATTTCACGAAAATACATGTATTGGTTTTGACTTTCGGAACATCAGTTGGAAATATTGTTACAGAGCCGATTTAAGGCTAATTATATCACTGGGGTGATAACAACTACCTACCTGTTATCAATAGTTATCGATATAGGTATATGCAGTTCAGACAGATGATAGATGATGTAGGTCAATCAAACAAAAGTATTACATCATGATAACCAAATGTATTTTTTGCTTCGATATTTGCAGTTAGTGACCTGTCAGATATTTTATTAATAGATTTTACGTAATACTTATGCAATAGGTACAAAAATTAATACCAGTATCATGCTTCAATTTAAAGGAAGTGATAACCAGAAAAATATCTACTCTCTAGTGCAAGGGTAATTGCCAATTTCAAGTGCAACTGTCTTTTGTAGCAGCAATGTTTTTATTAAAATATTTTCCTTGAATTAATTATAACGTTTTGAGAAATATTCACCTTTAGGTCTTTATTGATTGTCCATATAAAAGTAAAATATTTAATTTAAAATTTAAAAAAAAATAAGGAAAATTGGGTCATTCCATTTAAAATACTACGGTTTCGAAAATATTTTTGTTAAATAGATTCTTTTGACTTGATTTTTGTCTTAGTTCGATCAACGGTTTAGATCAGGGGCGGCTAACCCAAATGATCTTGATATCATCATATTAGATTTTCGAATTTCTAAATTAATCGTTCGTGAGCAGAGAAGTGGCTTATATTTGTTAAAGGCTACTAGACCTTGCGATATCCACTGTTTCATGTCTCTACTGCTTCTTACATCCTGAATTATCTGACTTTGTACATACCGAAAATCAGCGACCATTACAAAATACACATACAGTGTAAACTCTATACAACGACACTTAAGGGACTGAACATTTTTAGGCGTTATAAAGAGTGGTCGTTAAATGGAGAGAAATAAAAGATATTATTTTACTATTCTACAATATTATGCATTTATCAATATAGTACACATTTTACACACGAATATTATTATTCACACATTGCTTATAGCCTGTTATCTTCGTCTGATGTTTTTTGTTGTTCCAATATTTTAATTGTATTTTGTTACGAATCTTACTCATATCTTGAGATACTGCTGGATCAATTTGATTATATAAAAGGTATTTTTTTAATAGTTTCGCTGCATCAAGTGCTTGTTTGATGCTTGGTGGAGGGACAGGATCGTCTTCTTCAACAACGTACACAGCTGCAGTTCTTATCTATTTCGGCAACTTAGAAAGTACTGCTTAATGATTTATAATGCCGCATTGTTGACGTTAAATAGAGTGAACATGACGCTATATAGAGTGTAATATTGTATAGAAAACAATGTAAACCAAGCAATTTCGACGTTTTAAGGAGTTTGTCGTTAAATCGAGTGACTTTATAAAGAGTTTACACTGTATTTTGTAAAACGATCCGTGGGCCACGGATGGGCCATACCTGGTTTAGAACAATCACTCATAGTGGACATTTCTAAAGACGATTTTCATCTTTACATTAAAAAATTCGGTAGCCAAACAAAACTGATGAAGTCATACCATCTTTAACAGCTTTTGATATAATAATGTTCGAAAAAATTAATAAAACTTACATTAATCGTTAACTGCCAATACATTGATAAACATTACAAGTTATAATTGGATCAATGATTGTCCTTTAGTGTGGAATCCGTAAGTTCAAATGCCTTCTCCTTAGGTTGTTTAACCTTTATAATTATTGACAATCTACTTCATAAATTTAGTTTACAGCCTTTAATATCTTCGTAAATAACATGCCCACTTCATGTATTGTGTACATATTACACATTTATATACTTGTAAAATGCTGTTGTGTACGTTGTTGTTTGTGATTTGACAGATAGTAAATTTTTAGAGCATCATATTTCATATACACACTATAAAAAGTATTAATACTATTTTTGGAATAATGATTGCAATTTAGTACTAATAATATAAGCGATTTTTCTGGAAAATGCAAAACTACTAAGATATTTAGGTATAAAATATCAGTGTCTATCTTAAACTCATGAATTTTACAAAAGGTAAAGATTAGATACCTGCATTTTTATTATATGCATATCAAGCTGAGACGACAAAGTTATATTCCTTATTTCTATAATGCACTATAATTTATTACTAATTATTCGCTAATTTGTTACCAAATCCACAAAAGCCGGTCACTAATAGACGACGTACTAATTGAAAGGTATTGAAAAGGGCCACAATTTGTCGATGAAAGATGGTACTTTCACCTACTTTGTCGCTAATCCAGCTTCGATCTGATCAGCGAAAAACGATTGGAAAGCCGTCATGCCCAAATTTCTTATTTTTATTATTCAAACCCTCTGAGACTAGAATTCTGATATAAGTACTGAAAAACGTAAGCCTACTTTTCAACTTTAGTTGATTTAAAACATATAATAATGATATTAGAATATTCTTATCTGGTCAGCGGCAAATTATGGCTTAACAGCTCTCTAATTGTATTTCGTTGGAGGCAGAACTAGCGACTAAATGTGTGAAATACGACGAATTAGCGACAAATTATGGCCCTCATAATATTTTTGCATGATATTTCTATTTTGAGATATGCTATGTGTAGTTCCAGCTTAACTTGTTTTTTACTGATTAACCTGAGGCTGGACTCGCGACAAAATGAGTGAAATGAGACAAATTAGCGACAAATTATGGCCCTCATAATATCTTTGTATGATATTTCTATTTTGAGATATGTTATGTGCAGTTCTAGCTTAAATTGTTTTTTACTGATTAACCTGAGGCTGGACTCGCGACAAAATGAGTGAAATGAGACAAATTAGCGACAAATTATGGCCCTCATAATATCTTTGTATGATATTTCTATTTTGAGATATGTTATGTGCAGTTCTAGCTTAAATTGTTTTTCGCTAATTAACCTGAGGCTGGACTCGCGACAAAATGAGTGAAATGAGACAAATTAGCGACAAATTATGGTCCTCATAATATTTTTGTATGATATTTCTATTTTGAGATATGCCATGTGTAGTTCTAGCATAAATTGTTTTTCGCTGATTAACCTGAGGCTGGACGCGCGACAAAATGAGTGTAATGAGACAAATTAGCGACAAATTATGGCCCTTTTAGTAAATGGTCTTGTTGCACTTTATTACTTATCATTAATCTCCTTCCAAAACTTACCTAAGAGCATTATTGAGAGATTCTTTTGCTGTTAAGCAGTTGTGGGGACTTTTCGTTCTGTATGAAACCACACATTTTTTAGTGGCATCTTCTGATGCGATATTCTCTTCTGCTGGTAACAAAATTTTTACAGTCTGAAGTTCCGTGGTTTCATTCATTTTGTCTCTTCTTTTATTTTCTAACAATACCTAAATCGCATTCATTCAGATCCATCGGTACTCATGATTGGGATATATGCTTTGGCATTTTGGACCTGTAAATAAAAAAAAACATGTAAAATTTACGATAACACACAGCTGCTCATAAGTAAAGAAACATGTAACTCGATTTTGTAATTAAAAATAAAATTTTATCGTATAAAACAACATGAGCGTCAATTAGCTCCAAATGTTTATTTAAACAACGATCGAATTAGAGCAGTTTCAAAATATTTTGAGCCTTCATGTGAGATGTGTGAAGAAAAATTAGTTTTATGTGGTCGTCAATGATCTTTAACACGTATTTAGGACATCAACCCAAATGTTTTTCATTCGCTTTGGTTAAATAGTCATACTCCTTGCCGTTTGCCAAAAATAACCCTACCATTCAGTTACCTAAGTCACTATTAACTAGCAACTCTACAAACTGATAGAGAGATTAGAGAACTCCTCTTCGGAATTGCACGTTTCGTTATATTATGTCTTCAACATCCGTAGTGAAATATTACGAATATTATAACCGGTCTTAAATATGTATTATCGAAAATAAACATAAAATTGCTACCGATGTTTCCGACAAATCTCTGCTAAACCAATTTTCATTTAAATGTTATTTAAGGGAGATGCAAGGAAAAATTATAGTTTTGCCGTTATTAGGGAACAAATTATTAAGTTCCAAAAAAACATGTTTCCAATAAAAATAGTAATAGTAACATTATTTATCTTTAGAAAATTGCAATTTGATCTCGTTCTAGTCTAGTAAGATTTCATTTTTTGGATAACCCCAAAAGACTAAATTTCGAAGCATAGACCAGCGATGCTTCTATACGATACGATTTCATCATAACTCATCCGGATCATTTTTAAATATTGATTGAATATGTATCGTGGTAGTACAGCGGAAAATCAAATTAACTCATATAAATTCATGGTACATTTTTCTATAGCTACAGTTTAAATTCATTTCTGTCAATTACTGTTTTGGAATATTTAATATATTTATAAATTGAGTCCTCATAAGAACTCGTATAATTTCAAAATTAATGCTGAAAAATTTCAATGCAAAACTTACACGGAGAAAATAAGAAACGAAAATTTACTTAAATATTAAAGCGATATTTACAATTTATCCCACTAGCTCGTTACTTCGTAAGCGAAAATAATAAAAATTACAATTTGGACTCGAATTTGTAAAAATAAAATCCCAGCTGAAATAAATTTACTTGCGATTTTAGTTGATATTACAAATTAAATTGTAATAATTAAAAAACTTGAAATAATTTTTAAAGAAACATGTCAAAATTGAGCTATTACAAGTTACCTAATAAATTCTACTATTTTTAAGGCAAATTCGGTTATTCACAATCGAAAATTGTAATTTTTGCGTTGCCATAAAAATTTAGTTTTCTCAGTGTACAGTTAAAAATTCTGAAAAAAAATCAGGTAGCTTCAAAACAAAATCGTTAAAGTTTACTGAATGCTTAATGGAAACATGAATCCACCGATGAGTAACTTTGCTGCCCCCCTCTCCCCCGTTTATAAATAAAATAGTGGCTACACTCAGCAAAGATTCACGTGGAATTTATTATTTATAAACCTACACTCATATTGATAAATAATAAGCGTAGGTACTACAATTACATAAACTACAAGGTGTTTGTGTAATGTAAGTCTATTAAATTACAAGTTTAAATTTAAACAAAGTTTCTCAAGAAAAAATATTTTCATGGAAAGCTAAACATATAAAGTGCAAATAAACAAGCTAAAATATCTACACATTATAAAGTAAAATATGAGATAGTCGAATGGGAAGTTCATTTAGAACACGAAAACAAATTTTGTATTTTAGGTTTTATATGATCTTAGATCTAGGGTGGGCGATTATGAAGGAATTCGGGAGTTATAGTGTGAAAAGAACGAATATGCACAAAAAATAATAAATAATTGTTAATTGAACGAGATACATCTGCAAAATTTTATTTGGTGGAGTAGCTAAGAATTAGCGGTGAAATCAGGAAAAATCGTAATTTCGGAATAGGAGTATAGTAAAATATTAATATAGGGGCTTGGGGAGAAAACACCCCCTCCCGGGAAAGAGCACTCGGTTCGGATAGCAATACCATTATGATTAAACTTTGAAATGTGACATTACCAGACTAACCTAAAAGCTTTATTTATTATTGTTTTCAACAAAATAAAACGACCCTGCGCTATCCTCTGCTTTGTATCCCTACTACTCCTTCCGTCCTGACTTATCTGACTTCCTAGATATCTAAAATCAGCCACTTCTTCTAATTTTTCGTCTCCTATCTTTCCCTATTTTTTCTTCCCTTGCATACCAGTATTTTCGTTTTACTTTTATTTATTTTCACACGATACTTTTCTGCCAATACCGCTTCCATTTTACTTAAAGCTATCTCTAACTCTTTCTTGCTTGCTGCTAATACTGCCATATCATTTGCAAATCTAAGCATCCCCTTTATCCCTACAGTTGTACTGTCTTTAATGATATTGATCGCGTCTTCGATATATAGATTAGAAAGTAGCAATGACAGTGTGCATCCCTGTCTGACTTGCTAATATTTACTTCTCTACGTTGCAGCTACAGCTCTATAACCGCCTGTTGCTCTTTATATAACTAAGTATCATTCTTCTATCACTGTAACTCATCCCTACATTTTTAATCTTTAATTTAAAATTTCCGCTGACACGAACAATAGTACGTTAAAAATAAAATAAATATTTACGCAGTAACATAATTATTTAACTAAAAATCCGAAACAAGTTATTAATTTGATACAAAATTTGACTTTATCAAGCAACAAGAAAATAAATATGAAATATCCTTGGACTCTAAAACTATTACGTAACATCCTTGTACATCACAAATGAGATCGGCCTATTTTTAGCTTGCCTACACGCTGTAACAAAAAATATTGGTTGATTACCAAACTGTTAACATTTTTAAAGTTAAACCTTTTTTATGCAAATAAATGAAACGTAAAATACGAATTACGTATATTTCGAAATTTGACAAAAAATATCTCAGTAAAAAATAATCAAGCATATGTATAGTTACAGCTTTATAAAAGTTATTTTATTTACTAGGAATACACAATAATTATACGTTAGAGTATATGTATTTGATATTACTCTACTTTAGGTGGGAATCTTTTAAAAATTTACCTACCAACTGACATAACGTGGAAGTAGCTTGATATTAGACGATGTGTCCTACTTTGTTTATAGCGAAATTGTTTAAATATTTGCTAAAAAAATGTTACTTTTTAACGGCACATGATAAATAATTAAATATTTTAGAAAATATGATTTTATAAAGTTAAAAAAAATATATTTTGACAAAATTTGACGGCTTATAAACTCGAAAAAATAACTGGCATGATATTAAACAATATTTTCTTATATTCTTTATAATCACAGCTGCTCATAAGTAAAGAAACATGTAACTCGATTTTGTAATTAAAAATAAAATTTTATCGTATAAAACAACATGAGCGTCAATTAGCTCCAAATGTTTATTTAAACAACGATCGAATTAGAGCAGTTTCAAAATATTTTGAGCCTTCATGTGAGATGTGTGAAGAAAAATTAGTTTTATGTGGTCGTCAATGATCTTTNTGGTTATATTTTATTTATATCATCATTAATACTTATTAAAAAAATCGTTATTGGTAAGTGATATCTATTAACTGTATACAATCAAAGAAAAAATACTTTTTTTAAACTACATGAATTCATATTCTATAAAATATTAACTAATCAAAAAAAAAATGGAGGTCATTAATTATTAGTATTTAAGAAAAAAATATGAAAAACATTACCCCGTTTAAAAAATTTTTTTGGTAATTGTTCAAACAATTTCGCTTTTAGTAAAAGTGAATCATCCCTATGTCAAATTAATTTAAATGATGTTTGAATAATTTTTAAAATCTTTTACAATTTAAAAATGTATAGGTCTCTACATGGCTTACACTTTATAGTGGCCGTATCGATAAGCAATTTTCAGATGGCACAGTCGGCAGTGGAGCAAAATATACGTGTATGATTTATACGTGTAGTAAAATCCATAGAATTTTCCAGTCGCATCTTCTATAATAGTGTTTAAGAATGTTTAACACGTGTCGAAATAGTGAATTGTTTATTAAGTGGTAAATTATCATCCGCATTTTGATGGATTATTTTGAACATAAGTAATTTACATAATCGTGCTTAAGATCGAACTGTAAGTAAATCTTTTATCATGTACCCAGCAAGTAGTTTTGCCAATGTAGGAATTAGGAGACACCCGGCACCATGTTCTGGTTTAGTAAAAATGAAAATGTTATGAAATGCTTACAAATGCTGGTTATCAATTATAATTGCAAATGCATCAGTAAAATAGTATGGATAGGTTATGAATTCCAGTAGCGTATCTCATGGGTGGCCTGGGGTCATTGTGCAAAATGATCTTGGCCTTGCATGAATCCAGGTTTTAGATTTGGGGGATGGAGGGCAGTTTTTATCTATCTACATCAACCCCCGGACGAATCGAAGTGGTTAACGCTAGATGTACGAGGGGTTATTTATCGAAGAAAACATAAGTGAATCGGGGTCAAATCATAGGTCACTTCTGCACACAGATTAATTTTAAGTTAGACAAAATGGGCTGTTTTTACGGATAATACGGCATTAGTACTACGGTTAATAGTTCATGTTTTCGTGCTAACAATACGGAAAAAATGAAAAACAAAAATATACCTAAATATTTAAGCAATATTTACACTAGCCCGTTGCTTTATAAGCGAATATAATAAAAATTACAATTTGGACTCGAATTTGTGAAAATAAAATCCCAGCAGAAATAAATTTACTAGGTATTTTAGTTGATATTACAAATTTAATTGTAACAATTAAGAAACTTGAAATATGTTTCAAAGAAACATGTCAAAATTGAAATTATTATTTTTTACTATTTCAATTACAATCGATAATTGTATTTTTTGCGTTGAAAATTTAGTTTTCTCCGTGAAGCTTTCCATTAAATATCATCTTCACC